AATGTCAGAATTAATAATTTACCATGTAAAACTAGCTTTATGACATTATTGACCTATAATGTCATATAGGTTTTATAAACAGATTTCTTGGCATATTATATTTATTTTTCTTAATATTGTGTTTAACCGTTGAAAATTATTTTCGTGTGTAAATCATAGTAACTAATGATGTAATTCGACATTGAACGCCATCTGTAAATACATTCACTAATATTTCTGGAACTTTCATATTTTTAACTATTTTATCTCTTTATACATCATAATGTATAAGATGATAATTAATTATATAGGATACACTGAATTAACTAAAATATGTAGTAAATTTATCACTTAAACTATAGAATTGATTTAACACAAATAAAATTTAGAAAAAAATTTTACTGTAAAGAGCATGTGTGATTTAAGTGTTGGAGTTAGACGGCATGACTTAAGTGAAAGATTTTATTTTATTGGTCACCATGATTCCATACAATCGTTTTATTATTCAACATAAAACTCAGTAACCTTATAAATTTACTGAGTGACATATATTTTTTTCCTATTAATATTAATAATTTTTACTATGTAAATGTAGACAATATCATATAGTATACCAAATTTTATTAGGATAATTAGTAGTTAAAAAAATACAACAAATAATATATAATTAATTTAAGTTATAATAATTTTTTTATTAATACTTTTAATAAACAAAATGACTTATTAATATCAATTTTATAGTAATAATACAAATAAAGAACTTAAAAATAAAGTATACCTATGTTATTTAACTTTATGAAAACTAAAGTATGAAACCTATCAAAAGTTTTAATAACTTATTCAAAAATATAATAAAATACAAGTTTTAATAAAATTTTATTTTAACTATATTAAAGTATATAGTTTTTTGGGATATTTTATTAAATTGTTTTCATATTAGATAAATCATAAACTAGGTAATTTTGAAACCTATCAAAAAAAAACTTAAATATTGGAAGTGTCGAGTTTTTTTTATAGAGATAGTCGGTAATATAGAGAGTACTGTGTAAACAAGTATCTGATTGTTTTATTTAGTATTTTAATATTATTAGTATTGGTATCAAGATTTTTGTTTACAAAGGATACTATTAGTTGACTTTTAAAGAAAAAGTTAGGATTACAATTTTTTATTATAAAAATAGTTCAGATGAAAAAATGGAGTTCAGCTTGAGGTGTTGGGCGAAAAGAATCTAATGTGATTTAACTAAATAATACTTAACTATTTTATAAATTCGACGCAACTTTTGTAGCTCAACAGTTTTGTAAGATAACAAATTAAAACTGCATGTCGCGTGATTGGTTGGTTTTACAATGTGTAATTATAATTATGTGTTGCGATTTAACCGTGGAACATAGTCATTGTTGTTCAATTTATACTAGTAGGTTGTATTTTGGACAAGACAATACTGGTCGCGTGCCATTATTTGTACATATGTGTAACAATAGAAAAAATTTTCATGCTCAAGTACACGTACTAGATATCCGTAGTTAATGCGGCAGGGTATCTGAAAGCCTAATTATAAAAAATGTGCACATAAGGTTTATTTCAACATTTATGTATTTTTATTGATAACCTTTTTAATAAATTCCATTATCATAAATCATTTTTAATATGTAGAAGTTCTACACGTTACTATTGGTTAGTAGTATACAATAGATGATGACACAAAAAAAAAAAAAAAATTTTCTTTTTAATAAATTACGATACATTTGTTAAAAATAATATTCTATGTGTTTACAAAATTCTATAAATTAATTTTACATATTTTCTTTTTCTCGTAGTTTATCAGCTCCATTATGTACCTTTAACTGTAATAATGTTTTAATGTTACATAATAAATGTCTTTGTCGACTTCAATTTTAATTCATCTTATTATTGCAATTGTGCTTAACTCCTCGAATTAAGAACCGTGATTTTTATTCATTGTTCACCTAAAAAACTATTAACTGACTATAACGTAACGTACATTGTACTTTTTTCATAGAACAACAGATATATAATTTCCGGATAAGCATTGTTTTAGGTGTCCACAAGCCCGAATTTCGTATTCTAAAAAAACTTATGGTATTACATTGTATTTTTAATTTTTTTATATCGTTTGTTGTCTCGCTTTTATATATTAGTGACAAATCTATTTTAATAAATATTAAAACCATTCTAACCAATCTAATAGAGAGTAACTCAATTTAAAAATTTATTACTATTCATAGTTATTTAACTATATTATGTTGTAATTGTTTAATAATATTGAAATTTGTTTTAATTTTCATTTCAATGATTCATGAAGTTAGTATTAATTTTTTTCTTTAAATAAGAGCAATTGTAACGTTTATAATGAGATTTTTAATACAAAAGATATATTATATATTTTATACCAAAAAGTCTCATTGTAGAACACATCATACTAACATATTATGTTAGTAGCTTTTATAAATATTCTATGAGAAAATCTACGCAAAATGGATGTTTTGTTGAAATAATATTTTGGTAATGAAAAATGTCGTATGCGCAATACATGTATAACGAATTGTTAACAATGTGTTTTATGAACAATAAAAAAGATCCGTATAAACTTGATGAACTGATATCACAAATATGCGTATATATTTAGGGCAGTCACATGGTAGTCATATTGAAATGTAACTAGATTATATTTTTCATCGTGTTGTAGTTTAATTTCTAGAAAAATGTATATATTGTTTACCTGATTAATTTTAATAAAAGACAAACTAAAGCTCATTTATAATAATTATTATTTTTGAGTTATCCATAAAAATCTGAGTTTGGTTTCAATAAAAATACGTGTTACATACAATATAATAAACAGTTTATTAATAGTTGTATCAACAATTTATGTAATTTTAATAATGTTTTTATGAGAACATTATCAGCCTGATTTTATTGATATTTAGTGTTTTTTCGTGTTATAATTTCGTGAATATTATTCGTAAATAATCGTGAATAATCAGTTTAAATAAACGCATATTAATAAATAAATCATAAATTAATCATTTAAATGAATAAAAGATGCTAATTATGTAATAATATATTATAATTTGCATACTATTTAATTTAGTGCATTAAAGAGAATATTTCTATGATAAATTATTGATACGACGATATTAAAAATTATACATGCTTTTACTTTATAATGAAGTATAAATAAAACAAAATAACTTTATGCTATTTCATATTATTTCAGCCTAAGTACATTTTCATTTATTTCTATAAAAATATAAAACTACGATTTTCTAATAGGCAAAGAATTCTTATTTATAAATATGACTTAAGAATGAAGGCAATCATTATTTAATATCATATTTAGTTAAATAGTTTTTTTTTATTATCAAAATGAATTATACGCTTTGCATGAAATATAAAGTTGAAAATTTTTTATAGTAGAAATATTATTTTATATAATAAAAAAAAGTATATAATTAAACATTTCTTATTATTCTGACAACAATCAATTTTTGAAATTTGTTTTATTGATTTTATTATTTAGTTGTACCGGTAGAGTGTAAATAAAAAATAATCTAATATTTGGTCAATGTAGCTTGAGAAATATTTTGTTTACAACTGTGTAAAACTTTAATGAATACCAATACTGAAAAAATTAGATCAAACTACTCTCAGTAAATGTTAATGGAATCTTTTAAAAAAGACACTGTTAAAGAGACTTAAATGTTTTTGCGTTCTAAGACACCTTACAACAATTTTTTTTTTATCCAAATGAAAATTCCTTTTTTGTACTTATTTGGGATATTATATTTTAACGTAATTGATTTTCCAAACTGATATGATATTTGACTTTTTTAATACTAATTAGAAGTGAAATTATCAATAGAAATTATGTATTGTTTCGTTAATTACTTTGAAATGTTAAGTCTATTTATTTTCAGTAGACTAATAAATTTTAAATATGTAATCGAGTTAGGTACGCTGGTAGGTTGAAACGTTACTAAAACTGTATATTTTGAATTTTGGTAATTCCTTTTCATGTCTCAAATAATAATAATTATTTGAAAGTTTATGTATACATAAACATTCCTTCAACAGTGTTGATATACTTACATTTATAAATGCTAAAACATTAAAATAATAACAAAAAGTTGAATAAAGTTGTTGTTGTAAATATGTTAAATATGTATTTTAATATATTTTCAATTAGTGTTCGCTTCAGTTACAGAACTGAAGCATGTTTAAACAAAGCTTTTAGCTTTTAAATAAAAATTTATAAATGTCTATATTTGTTTACTTGTGAATTAGAATTTTGAAGTTCATACGGTTGAAGGAGATTATCAATTAAATGTTGTGTATAAAATATAAAATATGTTACAATTTTTCATTTTGTTTTATAATATTAAATTGTAATATTTTATTACAATTTTTAAAGTAATAAAAGTTTTGGTACACAAATCTAGTTGTACTGAATACCTAGAAGTTATTCTTATGTGCATTATGTCTTTGATGACTTGTTTTTTAATATTTAGAATTCAATCATTATATTAGGGCTTCGCAATTACATGATTACAATTTTTCAACATAATAAATATCGTGACATGACTCATTTTCAGAAATACATTATAATTGTTAATTAATTAAACAACTCTTATTCTAATAATAATAATTACAACGATTCAGGGGATAATGAGAATAATTCAAATAGTTTATTATACCACAAGTAATATATTGCCATTGATAGAAACATTTGAGTAATTTTAAGATTATAATAAACGAATTTTCAAATAAACAAATATTGTTGTAAGGTCCATCTTAACGCCTCGGTGATACAGCGGGACTCGAGTTCTGACCCCCTTGATTTGTTGTGACATACGTTATATCACTCGGTTATGTTGTTAGGATTAGTTGATAACATTCACGATTCCACGAGCTTGTTTATGTTGTAAATATTTTGTTAGAGCTACATACTATAAATCATAATTATTCATTCTCAAATGTGTTATTGTTATTTTTACAGGTGATCCACGGAGTGCACATTGAACCAGTGCACATAATGAGAAAGAGAAGTGTTGATCAGCCGCTTCGTATTCTTCTCTACTACGACGAGAGCGTATACAGGTGAGTTTGTATATCTATACTAATGTTGTGTCTCTCATTTATCATCGTCGTTGTCATTTAGTTTAACTTCAAGTAGAGCACGAGAGTAACAACTCGCAAATAAGTGTCAGAGCAATTCGGCATTTATATTATTACTATTATGGGTTTATAATCTCCTGTTGGGTACTGCGATTATTTTCGTTATTATACTGTCACAAATTTTTTATGAGATGCAACCATTACAACAGCAATTCAATGCGAGACATTTATTGCTTGGATTTTTTATACACGCGGTTTATACAGCCAGTAGTCGTGACTTTTATGTATTTAATTGACTGTGTATTTGCATGAGATTTTAAGAGTCATTCGTGACACAGTGGCTATCCATCATCATCACAGTCGACGCCGTCATAATCGTCCTACCGAAACGATTTTATCAGTTGTTGTTTCAAACATTTGTTTTTTCTAGTATCCGAGTTACAATAGAATAAAACGTCTAGATGAGCTGCCGTTAATTGTTGTTTTTATATTTCCAATGATTTATACACAGATGCTGATTTTAACTTTCAATAAAAGATGACTGCTATCAAGAAAAGCAATTAGAAAATATATTATGAACTTTTAAAGCTGTTTTCAAAGTTTTTGCGTGATAAAAAATCTAAAAAAACGCAGCTTCTATTATTATCAAAAATAATTTAGCCATCTTCGATATTCCATCAATCTCAGTATAATTTTCTGTCATATAACAGAATAGTTTTTTTTATCGTGAACAACTTAATAAATCAAAATAATATTAACATTGCTTTTTGTTTCTTTAGTTACATGTTGTTGTTAATTTACCAGTAATGAAGTGTTTTTTATGTTCATTTTTTGGATCCTAATTGGGTGTCTACTTAATTTTTTTTTATGGCAATATAACAGCCAAAATACTAAATGAATGAATTAAGAAATTAATGATTCCATAACAATTTTCGGATGGGTATTTCGGAAGTTAATATTTTAGCTTCGATGCGAAGCTGAGAAGGTATTAATTTTACCATGATGTGTTTATTTTTTTTTTATTTTTTTTTTTTTTTTGTGTCTGTCACTACTTTAACAATACGTCAAAAGATCACAAATTGTATCTAGTTGAAGACATTACCCTTAAAAATTAAAAAATTTTCCCTCGTTCCCCGCAAATGGGGGAAATATCCAAAAAAATTACAAATTTAAAAATCGACAAATTTTGTCATTTTTTTCACACTTAAGTGGGAGGAAGGTCACTATTGAGCAATGTCTAATGATAAAATTAACATAGCCTCCGTCTCACCTTCACTCTATATTTTATAATAGTAAAAACTTATTTGAAATATAAAAGTGACACCTTTTTAAAGTATTTTCATAAAATACTTCACGATTTAAAAATTAAAAAATGTTTATCTAAAATAAATTAAAAACAAATTAATCCTATAATTTTAGTTTTAGATTTATTAAGTGGTTTACATTAAAAGGATCACCTGTATATACCGGAGATTCATGAATTTTTCAACTTAAGTTTTAATGCCTTTTCCTAGCATTTAATAGTACAATGCTATACTATGTACAGCATTATGGCGTTTGAACTTTTATCGAAAAACATAAAAAATTTAGCTTGTAATCTTTTATAGAGATTTCAAACAACGATAAGTTATTTGATAAGATAATGACGGTTGAGTTTTCATTGAAAGAAAATAAAAATTATTTATTTTTTGGAATATTTATAAAAAATCAACACGGAGGCATTAAATGTTTATAATTATTTCAACACTAATTAAACATTGATAAATAAAGAAACGTGATTTTCTAACGATCTTATATTTAGAATTGTATTCAACATCATCCAGTAAAACATTAAATAAGGTATTGTGTGATTTTCAAGTTATGCGAGAATAAACTTAGAAGACTTACATTTAATGTAACATTAATTTTGTCACACTGGATATCTTTTACGTATTACTTCTTGAATTAGAGGACGTTAAACACGATTAATGATTAATGAATAATTGCGAAGTGATAATGAAAAAAAGATTATTTTACCGGGGACCCCCTGAGCTATGCCTGACAGGTTACTGAGCCTTATTATCTTTAAGTTATATTCATACACACATCATTTATCGAGATATCAGCTGCAACATGAACGATTATTAGTCCAGTACATGCTATTTATATACAAGGAAACAAACTGAATTGTGCGTGCAAATCAAAACTATTTTGCATAAGTTATTCAGTCGTGATGTTAAACAATCGCTGTTATCCATACGTTCTATTACAAGTATACGGTAAATGTCTATTGTCTTCGATGATCTAATTTCGATTCAAGATGATGTAAATCTAAATCCGTGCACACTATTCAGAAAATTAATTTAAAAATCAAATAGTAATTCAGTCACGCCTTTCAATATCGCGAACAATTTTAACTTAGTTATTTTTTGGAGAAAAAAAAACGCTGATGTTTTTCAAATGATTTCGACCGCGTTCATTGTAAAATAGATCGATTTTAATCGTGTTATTATCATTGATTACATCGTGTACGAATTGTATATATTAAATAAAATCAATTTACCATAGTGTTCAGTGTTGAACTAGCGATAAAATACTGTACTCTATTTATGATATTAAATTTAGTAGAAACTTCATGAATTACCTGGATTTTTAAAGGACAATGAAAGATTACGAGGACTCTGGAAGTCACGAACCATTGGCGATTATAATCTCTTTGGTCGTTATTTTTTCTCTTCACGTCAATCAATTCGAAAGTTTTCATTACACTTGTTTATATAGACTATATTATTCATTCGATGGATCGCCTACGTATCAATTACATTTATATGTTTTTTCGTGTTAACATTTGTTGTCAGCTTAATTTTAATATTTTAGGAAAATCCCAAAAATTACACTTTTTTTCGAGTAAACATAATTAAATTTGTACGTTGTGACACGAAAAAAATATAACGCATTATATTTTAACGTCAAAAAGATAAAATGTTTAAATTTCAAGACTTGAAAGGTGAGAGAAATAAAAACAGTCTCTGGTCGTTTTGATGTGTATAAAGATGTAAATTATTTATGAACAGTCTTTCAATGTACCTAAATGTCAATCCTTAAAAGATCAATATATTAGCTTTTTTATAGAGAACATTTCAACAGTTCAGGTGATTGGTTTTAACTACAAAACACACAAACTAAAATCACAAACCGTGTGTTCTTTATTTAACTTTCAATAACATTTGATACAAATTTAGCATGTCAGGTCATTGCATTTTAATAGCTGCTTGACTTTTAAATATCAACAAAATAATCACTTGTTATTTTAAAAAAGTGTGAGACGTTTATTTATCTTGATTAATTTAATAATTTGGTCATAAAAAACTTTTCATGTACTCCTGTGTTTATTATATTCGCATCTCGTAACTAATCGTTGATCTTTTAATATTATGTTTTTAAATCTTATAATGTTTGTTTTTGAGCTTTTTCTGTTTACACACAATAATAACAAAAAATTAAATTGATATTAAGATTTATTGCATATTTTGAGATTTTTAGTACAGATTTTAGGATACAATATCAGTCATTAAAACATTTGAACAGAATATATTTTCTTTTCTATATTATAAGACAATAGTAATATATATTCTTATCACTCCAGTATTTATGAATGGTATCGTTAATTCTAATGCATATTATTTTAATAATGGTCAATTTCAATAAACCCAGAATGTTTTATTAACTAGTTATCTTTATCATACTTTTATTTTTTCATTTCATATTGTATTCTTTTACTTGTATGCTATTAGAAAGACGTAACATTTAGTAAATACATTTATAGATTTTCATCTGCATTATATTAGCAATTTTATACTACTTATACTCTCGCAATCAATGACTAAAAGATAACTTAACGTTATAATTCTTAGACTTGTAGATAACAATACTTATTTATATTTCTTATTTTTATTATCGCCAAGAAGTTTTATTTTGAACAGTGTTGTTTACAATAGATACAAATCAAAAATACAAGAAGTTCTTTGACTTATTGACACTTTATGTTTTCGACAAACAAATTGTATTAAAAGTAGTTAGATAAATTTATGAGTTTATGAGAAATGTTCGTGACGTAATTACTAAAAAAAGGAAACGACAATAAAAAGTTCTATAAACATATTGTTTGCGTTTATTTAATTTTAATATAAAATCTATTTCAAATTCATAGACATATTACATAGTATTTGTTTTTTTTTTGTCGGTGTTTATTAAGTGAATCAATAAACTGGTTAACTGTTAAAAGTAATTTTTCTATAATTACTTACATCAATTTTATATGTTGTCATAATTCCTTGTTTTTATTAATCTTATTTATTTTATACTCCCTGAGCGTTCTACTTTTCAATGTTCAATTTTTATAGAATTCTTTATATTTCTTCGTAGCAAGGAAATACAATATACTAATAGTGGATTTTCTAAATTACATTTTATCGTCGCACTTACAATGTTGTATTAAACTGAAACGTTTTATCTCCAAATGGAGCACTTGAATATTGCATTCTACCAGAGCAACATTAAAAGTACGTTTAATTTAGCTTTGTGTCTGTTTCGCTTTGCTGAACAATACGAATAACATACCTTATTTGAATTTTTATTATATAAACTTATTTCTTCTTCTCCTGAAAATGCAATGATATTCGTTAGTTTTACCCCATCCTATTCATGGCTTCCGTTTAACGCTATATATACATTTTTCATCGGACAATTATTATTATTGTTGTGATGGCTACTAACTGTTTATAATTAGTATTTGATCTAGTACAATATGTAATGATCACTAAAGAATGTTTTATTATTATAGCTAATGCCTTTCAAATCTGTTTTGTCTCTTGCGTCATCAAAAGCTATACACGCATCATTAAGAGGTCACAATTGACGACAATCGTAAACAGAATTCGTACTATTCCGATAACTCGAGTAAATTTAATTTAAACAGAATGTTCATTTAAAAAAAAAAACAT